AAAAACTACAGTGCGTCTATTTATTTGGTCAAATTATTATAATATAATAAGATATTAACTTGTAACCATATTTAAATAATATATCGTCTAATTTAACCAATTGATACACGAACAAAAACAAGTACAAACTGGTTTCAGTTGAGTAAAAGCAATAAAGTTGTATAGTATAACCTAATAATTAAGATTTTACATCGAATCTTACAGTGCGTCTAATAACTGTAATGTAATACATTTGATTTAGTTGTACTAATCAAAATTCTTTTAATGAAAACAATATTCAACGTTGTGAATAAATTGGTAATGCGCTGGAACTTAAGAAACTAATAAGTTGATATGAAAATAATATTTATTTTTTATTCTTTACATTTAAAGTAGTTCTTAAAAATGATCGACGAGTTATTATGAATTGTTTGTTTTTTTGAATTATGAAAAACACAACACGAAAATAATTTTCGATAAAAGAATCTTATGAAAAAATTATTGTTCTAAAATAATGTTAATCCTTCTAAGCATAATTGTAAGACGAAAGTCATTTTAATGTCATTTTTGAAGATGAAATAAAATATGTTAATTACTTATTTAAATTTTTTGACAAAAATAAATAAATACAATTCAATGCATTAAATGATCGCTCATAAACACAAACCATAACTGTTTTTTGCATAATACTACCTATGAAAATAAAAAACGAAACATGGATCGAATTTTTTGATTTTTGAATTTTTCGAATTTTCTATTTTTGATTTTTATCCCCCATTAATTGCTATTGCCATGCGCTTTATATTATTTGTCGTGCGTTAATTTTGATGAAGCAAATTAATAATGTTTCTGTATTTTGTTGTTATTTATCTCTTTATCTTTTTTTCCTTCTCAGCATTAAATACTGAATTAAACAATAATTAAATACTGAATTAAACAATAATAAATGAAAAAAAGATTGATTCTCCGCAGTTTATTAAGATATATGAAACTATGTTGCAATGAAATGTGGTTATCACGTTAACTAAAAGTTTACTAAAAACATCTTATTATTTTTGGAGAGGAAATTTGAAGAAGGCTATACTCACTAAATGATAAATTTTATTTAAAAAATAATATATATTTATTAAAAAAAATACTCCGAATTCGTTTCGGATTTTAATGTAGACGTGTATAATAATTAAACTAGTTTTGGTAAAGTTTTCGTAGTTGTTCGTTACTTTTAAATAAATCAAACTATCCTCTTTTAAATAAGGAATGATATCACGAAAGAAAAACAATGGGCCATAAGGAAGTATTTGAAAATCTGCTTTATTGATTCAAAGTCATTTTAAAAATAAAAAAAACATTATATCCATTATTGGTTAGTAATTTATGAATTTTCTTGCTAACTATATATTAAAAAAACAATTTACAAAATATTAGGTATTTTTAAATAAAACTTAGTTCAGTGCGTAGCTTTTTGTTTTATATAAACGCTCTGTTTAGGATTTCAATTTCATTCATCATTATTTCAAAGTGTATGTAATCAACAATATCAAACAGTGTAAAAACAGTAATTAATATTTAACTGTTTAGGGTTGGTTATAATAAAAATAGAACACTAACTACACTTAGAATTAAAATTAATTTATATCATTTTATTCATTTTTGTTATGCACAAGCATGCACATTAATTTGTCTTATGATAAATGCCAATTTAATATTTAATTGTGATAGAACTATTTACTTTTTTATCTTCCTTTTAAATATAATTAGTCAATATGCAAAACACGCACATTTCTTACATTAAGCCAAAACTCATGTAATGCTTAACAAAGACGACATATATAAAACGAGTAATTACGTGTAAAATAAAACGAAAATAAATTACTAAAATAAAAGTACGAACATTAAAATACGTCTAAATTTATAGACTAAATTTATGTTAACATTAAAACACATTAAAAATAATAAACTGAAATGTAGGGATTAATCAGTTTTCAATTAAAAAATTAACTATTATAAATAATTTATAGTTTTATTCAAAATTGTTACAAAGTCTTTAGAGAGAAGAAATTTCAAGAAATTAATTTTTATATTTTGTATATGTTGAAATAAAGTATTAAAAATTGAAGAGAGCATTTTTAAATTATAGAGATGCTCAAAAATAAATAAATAAATAAAATAACTAAATAAATAATAAATAATTAAAAAAACACACTAATTGGAAATTTTAAGCTCAAATAATGCCTGAGTACATTACTTTTTGGAGAAGATTATATTTTACAAAACGACATGTTTTTCTCATAAAACTAGTTAACTATTATACTTTTTGCTGGAAATTCTGCTTTTCAAATTCATTGTTCTTATTGAAAAACATCTAGTAAAAAATACAAAACTAAAAAATAAATTTAACTGAATTAATTTAACTGAATAAATTTAACTGAATAAATTATTTTTCTGCCATGCTTAAAGACATTACAATAAAATCAGCAAATTTACCGCATTTACCAAATTTTAACACACATTATTTGGCAATATGTTATTGTTAATTTTACTTTCTGGCGTTCCCATAGAGCCAGATACACGCTGAATTTCAACATTTTACCATATTGTAGTTTCAACCATACTTTTTTTCTCAGTATATATTATAAAACAACCATCTCATAAAAATTAAGTAACTATGTTCTACGCTTATCATCGTCATCGTTACTAACTCATCTCTTGTCCCTAAAATCCTAACTTCAAATAATATATTTCTATTAAAAAAAAATATGTATACATTTTGATACATTTATTAAAAATATTTATTATTTTTCAAATGGTAGATACATTTTTTTCTAACCTGTAATAAATTCCTTAATTTTTAGATTGTTTTACTTTCTGGATAGAAATTGCTTTAACCCACTTTAAATATGGTAAAATGAAATAATAATAATAATAATACAAATAGCTTCATGGTCAGTGCTGAAAGGCTTCCATTCCATAATTATTATTTTTATTTTGGAAGCTTTATTTTGAAACATTTAATTGCGATATTTCGATCATGCAATGATAAAAAGTATCCCATAATTTTTTGACTAACAAAATAACCGAAATCGCTAAGGTTGGACAACTCTTTCAATTTACTGTATCCTATATTTGTAAATAATAATTTATATCAAACGTGTTATTATAATTTTAAATAATTTGTAAAGAATCTTAAAATTGTTTTTTTTTCTTTAATGAGACATAATTTTTAACACTTTGAGTGGTGAGAAAGAATTATAATTGACTTAATGCTAAAACAGGTAGGCATAATATTATTGTATTATCTTCGTATATCAAATAACCAAACTTCAAATCTTTCCCAAATAAACAAAATTTTTTGGGTTGCTATAGAAAGTTGTATTAGTTACAGAAGGCAATTTGAAGTAGAGATTAATTTAATCCTCTTTTAATTAGGGTAATATAACTTCGCAAAAAAATACATTTTAATTTTTATAGTCTTTTTAAAATCTTAATTATTTTTTCTCATAATTAATTTGACATTTTTCTTAACTTATTTAATTTAATTATTTTTTTTCTACACATTGCAACATTTTCTATACAAATGAGATTTTTTTTTACTTCACTGGTTAAAAGTATTTCCGTTTATTAAAAAAATATTTCCTTTCATTAAAAAAATATTTCCTTTTATTAAAAAAATATTCCTTTTATTAAAAAAATATTTCTTTTTAATAATTAAAGATATTTCATTTCATTTATTATTATAGATATTTGTCATGATTACCTATTTTTAAATTATCGATTACAAATATTAGCACGCTTATAACTGTTAATGAAACAATAAATTCTTTCAATTAAAATATTTTTATTGCAAAATTAAATTTCCTGCATATTTTTCCTGAAATTAGGAAATTTTTAAAGAAAAAAATATATTGGTATTTTTACTAACAAATTTAACACATTTGATCTCCCAAGTTGCATTCTTAAAAGTTTTTAAAAACGCCTTTATGGATTTTATGGATATTTGCAGAAAAGAGTTTAAAAAAATAGACATTGGTTAAGGTAGTATTAGTCAGTTTTTAAAAAGAATTTTACATGGTTTCTAAATTGCACTTCGATGACCTGAAACAAATAACAAATTTTCTATCAAAAAACAAATAAGAAAAGTCTTCTGCTAGTATATATTTAATTTCTATATTTTTTGTAATTTTATTTTAAATTTAATTTATTTTTATTCTGTTAAAAGTTATCAAAATCATATTAAAATTCGACTCGAAAAATTTAACTGCTGAGTTAAAAATTATTATTAATAAATTATCAAAAATATCGGGTTAACACATTTCAGTGTTTTGTACTTCGTTCTGTATTTATATTTATTCTGCATCATATTTTTTTATTATATTAAATAGTAGAAATAAACGTTTTATACCATCCTCTTTCTCAAATTCTTAAAGCATTGTATCAGTCCTCAAGTTAAATACTCTAACAATCTAAATATAAGTAAGGTAGTGCAATAAAAATTAAAAATAAACTGTTTACATCCTACTTTTTACATCTCTTTCGCGATATCTCCCGTAGAGGGCGCTACGTTTAAGCACTTCTAAATTGAACAACGTAGTAGACTTTTATTTCAAATGAATGTCGATTACACATTTGTTTTATTTGCAAGAACGTAGCATTTTTAGATAAATTAAAAGTGTTTCGTAATTTCAAAAATTTTTAATTCAAACAATAAACAGAGAAACTAAAATTGTACCTATAAATCAGGCATTTCTGAAAATAAATATAACACTATGTAAACACTAATAAAAAATGTAATTATATGAATGTTTCTTACTCTCTCGTAAGTTGCATCAATACATATTATCATGACATTAAATTGTATTACTAATCCGATGGACAAATTTACATTTTATGAATATTGTATTTCTTAAATAAGGTAAATAAGATTAAATTTATTACAATAACATTAAAAAATAATTTTAAATATTTTAAGTATAATTGAGTTAAATAGAAATGGGAATTCTTGAATCTTATGAGTAAGTACTTACTTTGAAAAGTAACATATGGTGAATCTTGAAAATATTAGAAATTTCTTTCCCTTAAACAATAAATCAGTTTTCTCGATATTTATTTTCTGTCAGACAACACTTTGGCCAACCATTTGGCTTCTTTCTTGTAAGTAAGTCTTCTTTTATTCAGACTTTAAATCCCTAAAAGAAATTGGACTCAGGATTTATAGTAAGTTAGTGATATATTTATAAAACTTTTTTTTTTCTGTAAAGCATAAAAAATATGTATGAAAAGTATGCGTTTTTCTTTGTAATGAGAAATATATAAATAAAAATGTAAAACTTCTTTTGCGTTTGTGTGATTCTGAAATTCCCATTTCATTTTGTTAACAGTTAAATTTCTAAAAATATATAATGTTACTTTCGCTCATTCAGTTTTTTGCAAGAATAATTATTACCCGAATTCGTGTGATTATTACCCGATTAAATATTATATTTTTTTCCTGTCAGTAATATACAGTCCCTGGCCAAACTATTAGATGCACTATAAGATTCTATGTTAAAACTTAATTAACAAGTGATACTATACAGCTTTATTGTTTTCATGTGACTGAAACCGGTTTGCACTTTTTTACGTTAGTGCATCAATTGGTTAAATTAGACGATATATAATATAACTTTGACGATAGGATAAATTAGACCATATATTATATAAGTATGGAATATTTATTATATCAAGCATTATATTAGTATATTATAATAATTAGATCCAATTATTAGACACATTGTAGTTCTTTAATAATTATATGATTTGCACTAGTTTATACGCAATGCTTATATATTTAAATATACATGTAATGGGTTTTTATTCAGGAGATTTTTAATATACTTATATAGTTCCTAACTTATAAGTTTTTAACTTATTGCATTACAATGTCAACAAATTGATATAGCAGCGTAAACAAATGCAAACCGGTTTCATTCCAGTAGAAACAATGCAGCTGTATAGCATCACCTGATTATTATAATTTTACATAGAATCTTAATAGTGCGTGTAATAAAATGACCAGGGACTGTATATTTATTTAACACTTGTGTTAAAAATATATATGTACATATATGTCCGATAAACGTGTGCGCTACTGTTAAAAATATATTCAATGGCACTTAATTTCTTGATTAATAATTGATATTTTTTAGAAACAAACAATATGCGTTATCAAACTTCGGTCATAGCAGGAATTTACAAAAAAAAAAAAAAAAAAAAAAAATATTGGAGATTAATGAATTCTTCTATTGTAAATCAAAATATTTTTGTGTTGTAATTAATTAACATAAGGACACTGTTACGAAATTTTAATAATTTTTCAAACTGGATCATTTAACATCATATGGAAACTCAGCAAAATCAAATAATGATGTGGTAAATGTGAAACAAGAAGAGAAAAATAGAAGACATTTTTACGAAAAAAGAATTGAAATTTTGCGATTTCTTGTAATTATATCGATTTGAATAGATTTCTTGTAAGAAATCTATTCAAATCGATTTAAATTTGCAATAAATATTTTAAACCACTGTTTAAAATATTACTTTTAGAAATAAATATAACAAATTTTTCAAACACTACTTTTGATCGACTCATTTTAATGATTTATATTATAAAAAGCCTTTGCAAAATCAATCAATAAATAAAAAAATAAATAAAATTTGTTTATTTCTTATTAATTCAAATTTGTTGCTGGTAGTGTAAGTAAAAATAGAATGGAAGGTTGCTATATAGCTTTACCCTAATTTATTTATTTTTTGTCTATCATAAGCAGTTGAATTTTTTTTCCTATTTTAAACCTCAACATAACATCTCAAACCATAACTTTTTTAGACCTTAATAAATTTTATTACTCATAGGGAGAAAAAAATTAATAAGATGAAATAAAGAAAAAATCACGAATCAAAATAATTGTAATGGGAAGAGAATATATATTTAGAAAGAATCAATCTTTTAAGAGTGTTTTGTTTCAAAATCAATTTTATAAATGTAAAATCAGCTAAAACTAATTTGGTAGACAATGCATTAAAAAATATTTATGCTTTCAGCATTCTGAGTTTTTTTAAAAAATGCTTCAATCATGCGTTTCAAAGAAGAAAAAATATAAAGTCTATACTTCAAAAATTATGTATTTTTAATTTTACTTTCATTTCTCATGCTTTTGCTCTGTTCCTTACAAAAATTTTCTAAACACATAGTACTTTTGAGGTTTTAAATTGTGGTTATAATAGTTTTTGTGAAAGTTAACGTTTTTTAAGCGGTAAGTGTTAATTATACATATGTGATATTTTTTTATGAATTTATTCATTTATTTATTGTTATATTCTGTCCAATGCATTCCTAGAACAAATCCTGAGAAGGTTATATGAATGAAAAAAGGGCACAGAAATAAAAATAAATGTTCTTGCATAATATACCCAGGCGAAACTTATATCTGCTAACCATTAGTCAATATTTGCTAATGCATTAGTTACATATAAAAGGAAACGTGAATTGCGTTTTAGAGTATGATTTTGCTTTCTTCTTTATTTTCGTAAAGGAATATTTATAGTTTAAAAATATGAAAAAGTTTTTTACCTTTATTCCTTTTTTTGAATTGTGTTCATTGATAATTTTTTTAATATTTCTCCTTATTACCCTTTGACACAGATGGGACGGCGATGTCTCTTTCATATGTTTTTTTTTCCTGAATCTCTAATTTCAAGCAAATACATGTCTTGGAATTTTCAATAATAAAAAACAGTCTTAATGGCTACTAAAAAAAATAGGTTAGATTACCGGAATTATATATATATTTGTAATAAAATGTAAAATCCAAAAAAAGTAGTTTGAAAAAGAAATTTCGCTCCTAATCAAAAATTTATCAATATCTGATTTTGTAAATTAAAGAAATTTCAATAATAAATAATTGTTTCTCTTGGATCTAAATTTGAACAATCAAATCAATTCAAATGAGTACAAATTTGAACAATTATTGTTTGGAAGTGAGCCGTGTTTGGAAGATTTTACCTCTAATGGAGAAAAAGACGCCGATGTTTTCACGCTGAATTTCATAACTATAAATTATTAAAGTGATAAATATAATATTTAATTTATTTTGACCTAAATTAATAGAAAATAATGCAAAAAGTATGAGAAATATGCTTAAAAATTTTTTTCGTCAAAGGGCTAATAATCCGTTATAACTGAAAACTATTGACTTATTTCGATACTAAAATGAGTAACAACAAAGAAGCAAATTTGATATCTTTCTCTTAACAACAAAAAATCTGGAAGAAAAAAGATGTTTAGCAATCACTTTATAATATAATATTTGTACCATGGCTGCATATTAAAATTATAAATCATACCCCAACATTTCATAAAATGTAAATTTTAAATCGTACTTTCATTTATTATTGCTTATTGCTTTCAATCTCATAATCGTTAAAATAATTCCAAAAAAAAATTAATTTGACAATCAATGGCTAATAATTCCTTTCCAAGTGAAATGAAATGACCCAGTTTTTGTATAAAATATATTACTAAGCATTAAATGTAAATCTTGAAATAAAAATTGATAAGAAAATAAACCTTTTGATAACCTTTTACTGAGTCCTTATCCTCAGCAGGGTGTATCATTACGAGAATAATAAACAATGATAAGTAAATGGTTTGGTAATGTCATTGAAAAGAAGGAAGTAAGAATAACGGCTTCACCTCTGTGCTAGGCTAAGAAAAATAAAGGGATGACCAACCCTTTCTCTGGATAAAAGGAGGCCACCGGGTCATGCATCCAATTGAGAATCCAGACTAGGGAAAAATAATAAAAAGGAATAAAATGGTATGGGGGGGATATAAACAGAACTGCAAGAGTCACTTAATGTAGTTCAAAAGAGAAAATACCAACTTTAGTATCATTTCTCTCTCCTAGATCTTTTCTCTCTTTTTTTTTCTTTCTTTCTTAGTGTTTTCTCTCAAGAGAGTTTCGTTCTCGGTTGAAGAGAAATCGGTCCGTAAATTTTCTTGATTGCTCTTCAATTGAGTGGATTCGCTACCTGAAAATTAAGTATATGAGCATCAAATTAAAGACTACGGAAAAAGATAATGGACTATAAAAACTATTTTAAGACTATAACATGGTGTTTAAAATATTATTATTTTTAATGTTTTTATTTATTGATTTCCTAACATATGCATTAAATTTTTTCTTTATTTGCTTATTATTTTAATCTTAATACTTTTTATAGTATGTATTGGGAAAGTGTTAGCATTTATTTATTCGAATAACATTGAGAAATTAAGTAGGGTAAAAAAAACCGAAACGCGATAAAACTTACCGTGCTTCTGATCCTATGGAAACATCAAAGTCATTTTTAGCGAATCTGTTGGAATATGATTTTGGTAAAATTAACAATAAAAAATGGTTTTTTAATAAGTGACAAAATTTGGAAAAAGTTATTAAATTTAGTTATTATATCGTGATACCTTAGAGCCTAGCATAAAAACCAGTTATTTACTTTTCAGTTTCGTATTTTTTACTAGATGTGTGAGTATATAATTTTACAGACCAGAATTTCCAGTAAACCATCATTATATGAACAGAAAAATTACCAAATGAATGGCGTATACTTTGGTCTTACTGACCAGAATTATGGTTTTCTTTTTTTTAGCCAGAAATGTCAATCAGAATCAAATTTTATCAGAATTATTTTCTCCATGAAAGTATGAATCTAAATATTTCAGAAAACTTTCTTTCTTAACTAATGGTGTTAATCAAGTACCGTATTAATTAGCAAGGAATACGTAATTTTTGAATTAATATCAAGTTAAATTGTAAAAGAATAATTAAAATAAATTAAAAAAAAATAATTCACCGTTTTAATGAATAGTAACCGAACGTCAGTTCTGCTACTATTCATGAAATTAATATTTTAGTGCAATGTTGAACTAAAATATTTATTTCTTGCCCCATTAAATGATTCAGGGGTTAAATTTATCCTTATTTCGCTCTAATAGTCAACATGTGTAAGCATATTTAAGAAGTACGATAATACGTTTCACTTTAACACCATATTCAGGTTGTTGAAAAACTGAACTATCAAGTTTAACATGCATATACACATATTGTTATACAATATATTTACATATATTGTTTACTTTCAGCTATGAAATTAAAAATAAACTTGACTCTGTCTTTATCACATTGTTTATAATTAAAATAAATTTCAATTAAGGAAAATACATAGTAAAATGTGATCGTTTTTATTATAATTGTTTGTATCAGATGTGGATTTCATAAGTGTTATTAAGTTTGTCTTTCATTTCTTCTATATCACACAATTAGTACTATATTCATACTGGAGCTATATACGTAAGCATGTAGCCATACGTAGCACGTAGCCCTACATAAGGAGCTTAAAACATATATATTATGTACTAGCTTTAGCATACTCTCAAGAAGATCCTAGTCGTTCCCAGTAACATAAATTCAATTGTCATTATGATCCACCTTGCCCTGAAAAGAAAACAAAATAGGCTTTAATATTATTTCATTATTAACATTTATTTTGATTAGACAGATGTTGAATGTATTTCTAATCAAAAGTTTAAGATGGATAGGAAATATTTCAAAGTATTTTAAGAAAACTAAACAATAATTTCAGTATAAACGTATTACTACATTTTAAATAATAATACCATTTTATATAACAGTAATTCTGTCCTTAATAAATTAACTGAATTTTGATGAAATAATTCATAACGTTTCCGAAACATTACTTAACTTAATTTTAGTGTATAAATTCACAGCGTTTCTGAAATGAGTAAATATTTAATAATTAGATTATGAGTCCTTCTAAAATCTTCAGATTACATCCTGTTTTAACCAGAAAAACTTTCCTAGAGTGTAAACCTAATTTTTGGTGATTTCCTTCTGGTTTGACATAACTTTGATTTTAGCATAAAGTACTATCTTATAAAAAGGAATACTGATTTCAATCAATGTTTGATTAGGAGGTAATTTTCTATAAATGAAACTAACGTCTCAGTGACTTTAAAATGAGCTAATTATTGTTTTTTGTTAAGGGATATTCTTAAATTGCATAAAGGGATTGAAAGGTAAATGATTCACTGAAACCACTCCCAACTCCGGTTACAGGGTGATCCTTTCATAAGAATCGTGGACTGTTAAAATTTTCATTCTAAAATTTTGGAAAATAAATGGCAGCTGTTTGTCCATCGATTAGCCGTAAAGTTTACGGCAAAGAACATTTTTTTCCTTTATGATTTTGAAACCATTTACGGAAAGTACGATTATAAAACCATGAATATAAAACTAAACAGTTTTTTAACAGTTTACAACTAGCATTTTTCAGAAACGCAAAAAAAAAATTATTATTTACCTAGACATAGGAGCTCGGTTTTGGCAGATAATGGGCATTGGAGAGTGCCGGACAATGGAAATTCTTCATGTGTTGAAGGAAATGGAGGAAATGTGATGTCACCACTAGGACTAGAACTCCAGTCCTGGCCATGAGATTGACAGATAAGCCCGCTCGGCTGTGACATGTACGCAGTAGCAAAGAATCAAGTAGCTTCATTAAATGGTTCTAGTTGGTGCGATAAAATTTTGGTTGTTTAACCGTATTAGATGAAAGCAGTTAATAAACAGTTTTTCTCAAACTTATCAGTTTGACTACCATTTTATTTATGGTTATTTGAGTGTTTTGATTAAATATGGTGAAATAACCATTCAATAAATTGTTATTAAACCATTTTTTCCGAGAAATCTCTAACAGAGTGTATATTTACTTTATGCTTTAAAAATATAATAAAATATAACTTTTCCATGAACATCATGAAAGAAACATAGTATATGTGACAATGGTAATGAATAGATTGCGTTCTCTGAAGAGTTGGATTAATGTTCTACAGTGGATGAAAATTGAGAGGCCCAATAGTATTCCATTGTGTTTTAGCTTTCTATTCAGTATATTTTTATTATACTTTATATATGTATATATTTAGGTTAGAATTGAATTTAAAATAGAATAGTAGTTACCAAAGCTTCAATATTCGTTTATAGTTCTAGTTTGTGACTTAAATTTAGGCTAGAATTGTACTTAAAATAGAATAGCAGTTATCAGAGCCTCAACGCTGATAATTCTAATTTATTGATCTAAAATAAAATATCTAAATGGCAATTGTTTTTTATTAATCAAAATGACGAATATTTTTACAAAATAGAATTCTGCTTTTTAAAGTTGTCGAAAATGTTTTGTATACTTGATAGCCGGAAGTAGTTTTTATTTTTTTCGATTCTAGTAAGTATAATTCTCCAAAGTATAAAGTTTCTATTAATCATATTTTCTTTAAATCTATTTTTTTTTCTTTTTTGTAAACAAACAATTACCATTTTTACACGCTTGTTATAAAATTGAGGCAAATAACTATAAAAATCTCATATAATGACTCAGATAAAAGTCAATCAAAACACTGACAGCCACATCTAAACATAAGGATTATCTTTTGGATATTTATGGAAATAAGACAAGAGTATACATCAATGAGATGGAAGCATATGTCGAGAGGCAGTAACCTTCAGGGCAATTGTCACCCAGCCCCTTTTCCCGAGAAAAAGGGGTTGAGGAGAAGGGCTGTTCTCCTCCGGTTGCAGTTAATGCCACTCATTCTGACCGAAACCCAGGGAAAAACAATCCACGTAATGGGTAGGCTTCCGATCACCCTTATATTTACGACCTCATCGATTGCTTTTCCTTCGCTTCATCTTTCTTTCATTTCATTCCTAGACTTTTCCTTATCTTCTTTTTCCCGTTCTCCTTCATTGCCCCCCACCTCTATTAGATGATACCTCATTGATCCCTTTAATTTCCGGGAACACATGCGATTCTTTTACACATTCGTCCCACACATTCTCTTCTAGCCTCTTCCGTTCATTTTTTTTCTCTTTTTTTTTTATCTTTTTGCCTTATAACAACGAATTAAAGTAAAGAAGTTGTAAAAGGTGCACAAAAGTACATTTTCTGGTCCTTTCCTACTGCTATCAGAATAGAAATATTTCTTAAAATAATTTCAAATAATCGTTTGTTTGCAATATAATCGTTTGCTGTGTATATGTTTACTATAAACTAACGTTGCAGTGTGATGTTCGCAGAAATAATCGTTTTCGTTTTGCTACACCGCTAGAAATTTCTCTGAAAAAAATGGCTAAATAACTATTTATTGAACGGTTATTTTACCATATTTAATCAAAACAGTCGAATAGCCATAAATAAAATGGCAATCAAACTGTTAAGTTTGAGAAAAACTGTTTATTAACTGCTTTCACCTAATACGGTTAAGCAACCCGAATTTTATTGCACCCACTAGAACCACCCAAATGAATCTACTTCGTTGTTTGCAACTACGGACATATCATAGCCGAGAGGGCTTATGCGTCAATCTCATGACAGGCAGAACTGGAGTTCGAGTCCTAGTATTGACACCACAATATTTCCTCCAATCTTTTCAACATATGAAGAATTTCTAGTGTCCGGCACTCTCCAATGCCCATTACCTTACGAAAAGCCGAGCTCTTGTGTCTAGTTAAATAATAATAATAGTTTTTTTTTTTCGTTTTTGAAAAATGCTAGGAGTAAATGGTTAAAAAACCCTATAGTTTTGTATTCGTGGTTTTATAACCATACTTTTGTAAATGGTTTCAAAACCATAATGGAAAAAAATGTTCTTTACCTTAAACTTTACGGTTAATCGAATGGACAGATAGCTGCCAGTTATTTTACCGTAATTTTGGAATGGAAATTTTAACAATGCATGTTACAATTACAAATAATATTAAAGATTTCTTATTTGTGAAGATTTCTTAAATTGTTGGTTATGAGAAACGATTCGTTTAAACATTTATCCTACACACTCCTTTTTTCTCTTCTTCCGTTCGTTATAAGCTGATTTTTCTATTTTTACAACGAATTAGGGAAGTTTGTTAAAGGTGTACATTTTCTATAACACATAAACTTTCCTGTGTTACTTGGCATCCTGTTGATTTGCTCCCAGATCTTTGTCGCACCGCATTTCGATTAAAACATTTCGATAAAAAAAAATATTTGAACATTTTGATAAAAAAAAATATCATTTTTAAAAAAAATGCGGATTTGAAATCAGGAATACAAAAGTAAAGCAAAGAAAAATAATTGTTCTCCAGTGATACATAAAAAACAAAAGACATTTAATCTTAACATTTTTATGAAAAATAGATTATAACATTTTCATGCACAAATAAAAATATACCCTCTAATATAATTCGATACCCAGTTGAACTAGCTGAATTGAGATCACGAAGATGTCGCTCAAAACTGAATCATTCTTCTAGTTTTTCAGTTGCACCGTTGGTTCTTATGTTTTTAGCTTTCTAAGAAAAGGGAGGGGGGTCTTCCTAAAAAAATGCTATCTTTTGGTTAGTAAAATTAATAAAAAACTCTTAGCATGTGATTAAAATAATATCGAATTCGAATATATAATCTCTCTGTCCGAATTACATATTTAAGGAACTAGTTCATACTGATTGTCCTATTTGGTGAGCTGAATCATAATTGCAAAAAGTGGTTGGTCAGATCAGATTTTTACTATTTGAATTTTTGCATTTTGTGAATTAATTCAATTTACTGTAAAATCACTGTAACTAATTAAATATCACCGTAAAAATTTAAGATACGCAATTTTAGGGGTAGAAATAAATTTTACGATGAAAGGAATTTATAGATGATATACCCAGGATGCTAATACGTTTAACCGCAATTTGATCCAGAATATTTTACAGTGCTCTTGTTCATATATCATGTTTATACTCGTATAATTGTATTACTGAAAAGTAATTTATTTTCTTAATTTATCATCTCTGTTTTTTTATCAACCATGTTAATTAAAGTAGTCTCAAATTAGTTTAAAAATTGTTTTTAAAATAAAAATTTAATCAATTTAAAATTTTAGTAAATTTTGAAATGTTTCGTACTGACACTATTTTAGTGTTTTATGAATTCCATTATATCTAAGAAACACTCCAATAGATGGCGCAAAAATAGCACCCTTTAAAGAGAAAAATTATTCAAATAAATTTTCGTAATAGAATAAAAATGTTCTGTTTTCAAATACTTCATATTTTTGTGTTTTTTGCTTGAAATGTCATCTGAATATATATTTTAGTCTGAATGTTAAGGGATATATTTAAATGACACTATTTTTTTTGCAACGAAAAGTTGTATTAGTTTAGAAGTAATTAATATTATGATTACAACTAATTGTACAAAAAGTAACTAAGCATTGAAAATAAAATAACATTTAATAAAATATTCGGAGACTACTTTTTTTTGCGATTAGAATAAAAATAGAGAGTGAAAATCAATGATGTTTGAATTATTTCGTATAAACTGTAAATAATGAACGATCATAAACAAAATTTTATATTACACCTTAGTGTAATTAAACAAGGTAAAAATTACTTTTATAACTTTTGTAATAAAAGTTTATCAAAATTCTGAAATTAAAAAATTCTATGTTTCCATTCTATGTAAAATAAAATAATTTGCCAATATGAGTGTAAAAACTAATGCCTCTGTAAAATATTTTATGCTTATTTTCAGCAAAGTTGCAAGGGAAGATCTTTATATTAAGCCATTTATCTTCTATTTTCCATTTCTCTTTTTCTATCAAGAAATCGTCACTATATCCAGAACAATTGTACTTCATCGTTTCTGAAATAAAAGTAAAATATGTGAATAATCAGTAAACACACACAAATTTCACACACATAATTCCATATTTATGAAACAGTAGAAATAATGTACATTTTAATTAATTAGATTGTATTTGTAAAGAGTAAAAACTGAAAAAGATATAGTTTTAACAGCTCTAGTAATTTTTTAAAAGTTATCTAAAATTAATTACAAAAATAATGGTTTCAAAGCTTTAAGATGTGTTATCAATACACATAAATAAAGAAAGAAAGGCGTGTATATTTTGAGACCTGTTAACCAACATTACTAACTTTTTCAGAATATTTATACGGTTTTAAAATTTTAGGCTGCTACCCAGAAATTTTTTTTCTAATATATTTAGCTCTCCTTTTGAACTTAATCAAATGACCAGCAGTAAAGCCCGAAACATGTATCAATATATTATAATTAAGAAATAAGTGACCCGGCTAATAGAGAAGCCTTTTCTGGTTATGTAAAGTCAGTTAATAACTTTTTAAACGTTCATTTTATTTTTAGAAAGCAAAAGGGATCTTCATTTACATTATTGTTTTCAATTGAAACCATTATGAATTTGAACGGTACATTTTATATTTTGATATTGAAATTTTAAAAGCTTCTTTTCTTGTGTAACAACCCGATAATCTCATAGTAACTGACTAAAATATTCTGCTTGTTGAATATACAAAGTATGCTGATTCAAAATAAAAAAAAGTATGCTGATTCGGTTTTGTTTTAAAATGATTTTACAAAATAAGACAGATATTAGCTTTGATATATAAATGAAAATTGTGTGTTAAAATTATCATGAATTTATTTGCGTAAAAAATTCCTTTGTTAACTAAATTGACTTTTTCACCGTATGCAAATCCAATTTGGGCAAATCAGTGGTTGAAAAATCTTCTAATTATTAATTTTTCAAAATATTTTTTCAATAAATATTAATAATTTATATTAAATCATCGAAATTAGAATGTTATATTTAAAAAATTCATTATAAACTTTGAATTATCCAGTAGTTTATATATTTCCCTCCTGCGCGTCTAGTGTCGGGCTAATCCAAGGTATCAGACAAATCAAATGTGGTTCTGTACTTCAGTAAGAACATGCCATAAAAAATATATATATCCCACTACCCTCTATTTATGCCTTAATTTCATATTTTGTAATCTGGCAGCTTAGCTACGAAAATATTTTAAAATATGTTTGCAAAATGTCAACATCTGTTCGCACTCCTCGCTTTTTTATTTGCATCGTATTTTCTTTGATTTTTTTTTTTAAATATTTGATTAATATGTTTTATTTTCGAATCCGGCTCTCGCTTATACTTTATCACACTATTGTATTGATATATTCCGGGCTGGCTATATTTACACAATATTAGAAAGCGCTACTGTGAGTTAACGACAATGTCGTTTTTTTTTTTCAATGTTAACAATTTTAATATTTTTGTGTAAATTTTAAAAATATTTAATCATTTTTCATAAAGGTTTTTTTTCCCTTTCAAAAAAGCGTTTCCTTTCTTATTGCTTACCTTCTTTTTTTTTTCGTATTTTTATCTGATAATGTGGGTTCTTTATATTTGCAGCTTATGCGTAGTTAATAAAACTTACTAAAAATTTACTTAAATTCTTAATTTTTTCTTCGAAAAAATGTGTTTCTTTTCTCACTGCTTATATATATATATATATATATATATATAAACATAGAGGTATTAGAAATATATGTCCAGACTAGAGTCCCATTTATTTCTCTGACACATTAAATTTCTGTGAAATCCTGTGAAGCATAAAAAATATCTAAAAGTCTCATGCATCAGCGATGAGAACAGTTCATCTCTTTGCAGACGAAGTAAGGTTATCGCTTATGGGTTGCTACATCAAGAAGATTATCGCCAAAGAGTTGCCCATAAATCGCCAATTCCTCACCGGCAATCAAAAANAAAAAAAAAAAAAAAACACGAAAGAGCACTTCTCATTTCTTTTTTTCTTTTCTCTAGCTTTAGTCTTCTTGTTCGGACTGCCAGAGAATTAAGATTTAGATGAGTTGGAAGAGGATAAAAAGGGGAAAGAAAAAGAAAAAAAAAACGGCTAGGTTCGGTGGTTTTTTTTTCAAAAAAAGAAAAAAGATGTCACTTTTCAAGCTATTTCCCATTCTCTTACTACTAGTACTTGGATTTCTTGGGTTAAAAATAACGGTTCTTATCGAAAGGACCGCTTAACTCTTTGTAGTCGCCGACTAGGACTTATGCTCTTAGGAGAAAATAACAAAACAAAAAAATTACACCAAATTTTTAAATTGTAACTCCTTATTGTTATAATTATAACTCTTAAATTGTAACTCTTTATTGTTATAATAATATACTTGTTCTTATTTCATATCTCTTTTATTTAGTTTTATTTAATTTTGCTTGGCTATAATGGGGTTTTTTCTAGTGTTGTAAAAGTTTTATTATTTTTTGAAAAGTTATGTTTTCAATAAATTCACGCTGAAGCGTAATTGGTAATATATCACAATCACTTTATTTACACAAGGAATTGTGATTTCAAGGTAACTCCTCCCATGTTTCTGAAAAAAAATAAAAAACGAAAAAAGTTAAATTTAAATCTAACGTATAATTTTTTTTATCAATTGCTTTTATTTAAGCGCAACAGAACATGGAACTAAATTCCATCGAATCACATTGTCTTTGCCCATAAGCACAACAGCTTTTCCTTGGAAAGCAATTTTCTTCTGAAATATGTAACATCTGAAAAAAAGTAAAATCATGGTATCGTAAAAATGTGTTTTTAATTTGATCAAAATTTTATTAGTAGGAAATGTATTGTCGTGCAATGTTTCGTTTTTAACTAAAATTAACTGTCATATATTGTCAAGATTAAAGAAAATTTGAACTCTGTCATATTAAAACTTTTTAAAATTTATTATCTTTTCCCATGCACTAATTGCCTGTGAGACAGTAAGCTCAGATAAATAATATGATCATTAATGAAATATACAATATGTACTATGAAACTCCTTAATTAACCAGTATTGATAAGTACTTATATCGTCTGAGTTCAGTTCAGTTTTCAGAACTGTTTTAAAAACTGCACCCAAAATTTATATATTCTTCTACGAAAATGTATTCATTTTATGCATTGATAATGTTATTTAACCTATTAATATCTTAACAACAAAAAGTGATCTTTATTTGAAAAGCGTTTCAATAAAAAAAGTGATAGCACATGTTATGTTTTTCCCCATTAGAATGTAACTGCGAACTTGTTGTGTCCAGGTGTACATAAACCATCTGGTTACATCAAAATGAATCATAATATTTAAATACAAGTTTTTTCTTTTTTGGAAGAAACTGTCCTTTCAAAAGACGCTAAGAATAAATGAGTTAATAATGAAGTGTATTAATTATGTTTTCCTTTAAAAGAAACTTAATTTTTAAACGTTTTTAACAAACGAGTTTTCCAATTGCAATTTTAAAGTTATCAGTATTTGCGTCAATTAATGCGTCGAATTATTCAATTTATTTTATTCTATTTTATAACCGGCCTTTAACAGCAGACCCAATTTTAAGTTTATTACTATCAATGTTCAACTCCACAGCCTTGTAATTTTGATCAATCGTTGGGACAAATTAGAATTCGTGGAAGATTTTTTGATTTGGGTTTCATAGAGAGGAA